AAGTTCTAATGCGGAAAAGAATCTGATTTTATCGGAACAATTTGTTATTTTCCAAACGAAACAAAATGTTTCTTTTAAATCTAAATCAAATTCTTCTCTCGAAATAATATAAAAGAAAGAAGATGATTAAGAATCTATTCTGAGTCTTTTCAAAATTTGTAATCGAAATCAGAATTTAAAAAAGTTATTCCAATTAACTCTTTGTGAAGCGAAATCACAAAAAAATTTATCAATCAACGTTCATTTGAAAATTCACTAATATTATAAATCAAGAGAATCTTTTTTTGTTGATTTATTTGTAAAGAAAATTGTCGTTTCTGAATAACTATGTGATCATATATTTTCAAGGTAACACAACAATATGTTACAATCAAAAATGTTTGAAATCATTTTCTAATGATTATCAATCTATTTCATTGATTTCACAAATTTGAATTTTGTTCTTGAGAAAAGCAAATGTAATTTCGCAAATATTCAAATCAAATCTTCCAAGTAGATAAATTTCCGTAATTATAGATTCTTAAAACTTTATTAATTTCACTGAAATATTTTGTCAACGTTGTATTTTCATCTCGATGTATCATTTCATTTCATTTAACATTTTGTTTTGGGAATTCCATGGATTAATCTCTAAAATTAACTTTCAATTTAGATGATTTCTTTTCTTCTCAATGTGATCATCGATCTCTTTCAAAAGATTCTCGACAATTCATGATGGTAAAGAAAATTAATTTGATTCGTTGAAAAAACAAAACACGAATGTGAGTTAGAAATGAGATTTGTTTTATTGAAAAGAATTGAAAATATTCGAATAAATATGAAAAGTTGCTCAGTAATTTAATGAATCTTCTTTTTTCATATAAAGATTATGTTCCTTGATTTGATATTGCACGATGAATTGTTCCAAAATCCATTTAAAGTACTGGAAATGGATTTGCAATAAATTGTCGAATAGAAGAACAATTTTCATTTGTTAATAATAAATCAGAATGAATTTGTATTGATGAAATTCAATATTGTGTTGCATTATCAATTGATAAAGGAACTAATGGAATAAATAATCTTGAATATTCTGATGTTTAATCAATATGAAATTGTTGTGAACGAGAATTTATTGGATTTAATATAAAACTATAACCATCGAATAGAATATTATTGAAATGAGAATATTTTTCAAGAAATTCATTAACTATCAGATTTAATTGATCTTGATCTTTTTAAAAAAAGATTTTCCATTGTATTTCCTGTTTGTTTCCATAAATTAATCCAAAAACTTCACAATTTGATAAAGCAAATTCAAATCTTTCTTTTAAAATCAATTGAAGTTCTTCATAAGAATTTTTTAATAAATTTTCATATTTCTTTGATATTATTTTATAATGAATAAAACCTCCTTGACATGAATTTGATGAATCATCATAAATAATTTCATCATTTGCTGGTTGAATTTGTCTTGATGGTTCTCTCCATGATTTAATAATATGTAAACAATATGCACTTTCACACCAAATATATAATATTGATGGAATTAATAAACAATAACGATTTAATAAAAATAAAATCAAAAGATAATTTTGTTGTTTTGTAGCGATGAAAAAATTCATTGTTGAAATCAATTGATTATATTCATAACAACATTCTAATGTCCCAAAAACACAATATAATGGATAAGAATACCAAAGAAAATTTCCAAAATGTGTATAAGAATTAAATGGCATTGTCCAATTAAGAATTATAAAAAATCCTTTTTGATTATCTTGTAATTTTGGATATTTTAATGTTGTTGTTGTTGCATAATCAAATATTCCTGTGATTATTTCAATAAATGTTGCAATTAATAACCATGGAATAACATGAAATTCATATTTAGACCAGCAAATAATCATAACACTATTTGACATATAAAATCAACTGACCAATGAAGTCCATAACCAAATAATGAATATTGATTATAATAATGTGCAACAGATCCATCAAATCAATCTAATAAAGTTGAAAAAAGTTGTTAACAAATACCTGTTATTGTAAATGCACCAATTAAACATAAAGAAAGAATACGTAGATAATCAATAATATTTCCATAAAAAGATTTTGAGATCATAGAATTTTGTTATATAATCAGTTTCAATAAAGATTTTCTCAATCGATTTTCCACGATGAAATGTTAAATATTCCCAAAGAATTTTCTTCATTTATATCGTTTATTCATAAATTTATTGATAAACAATCTTTTTACCTACACGAATATTTGTAAAAGAAATGCAATTAAATCGATATTTCTCCTTGATTTACAAATAAATCTTCGACTATTTCATGTTGAGCAAATAAATTATGTTTCATTACCCTATTAGTACTTTTAATGTTTCTCTCTTTCTCTCTATGATCGTACGTATATTGCAATGAAGAAGTTTTTCTTCACAAAAATAAACATCGTTCGTTACTCGTGATCAAATGAATCATCTATCCTTGGAAATCTTCAATATTTTTCACTATTAGATGAAAATGAGGGTGTTGGAAATAGAAAAACAAAATTTAGACAGAGAATATGAGAAGTAGAGAAATGTATTTGGATAAAATTCATTAAAATATTCTTCTTGATCAGTATTTGATGTCAATACACATTTAATGATTCTATCGCATTGAAATATTTTGAATTGTTGAAAAAAGATTTGTTATTCTCAATTGATTTTGTCAATTAATAATTAAATCACATTTTTCATTCATCGATGTTTCAATAAACATATGAAGATCTCAAATATGATCAACCGATATCAATTGAAATAAAATAGAAAATAATTGAAATTCTATATAAAAATATACAAGAAAATTGGTCATAAGAAATCCTCTTTTTTGAAACGAATATTGAATTTTGAATTCTAAATTTATGATGATTTCTCTTCGAAAGATCGATTTATGTTAAATTAATAAAAATACTCATCATTATTAATTTTTGTTGAAAATTAAATTTAAAAAAACTCTTTTCAATTGTCCAAATCATATTCATAGAAATCTTTGTATCTTTACAAATGAAATAAATTTAGATGAAAATATCAAATCTATTTTGATCATGTTCATCTGATAAAGAAAAGACTTTCCATAAAGTTTATAACTATAGAAGATTCATTGTAAATCATTTCTATAATTAACTTTATCTTCTTAAATTAGAAGAATAAAATTTATTTGTTTTATATCAAAAGAGANAGTTGTTGCTGAGAGGATTGTTCGAAGTTTAAAAAAAATATCACTTTTAACATGTTCTAAATGAACTTCAGGTAAAGCTGAATCATCTTCACATTGAATAACTTTGATTATTGTAAAAAAATTTCCTGGTAAAATCAAAACTTCATCCTCTTTTAAATCAAATTCTCGAATAAAACGATCACATAGAGATGCATCTCGATTCAGATTACTGTCAATAATCGCTAAATTGTTATTTAATTTCGCATAAAATCGTAAATTCTTCTGTGTATATAAATGAATCAATGGAATAATATTGTTTAAATTCTCTTGGATTTTGATTTGCAGCTAATCAAGTGTGAATATTTTTCGAAGAAATATCTTTTCAATGATCAATTTTTGGTTGTGTAATAGTAACAGAATCGATATCATTGATCTGGAAAGACTGAATTGCAGGAGCGATTTTATTTCTACAACAAAATACCAACATCCATCGTTGTCTGAAACCTGTCGTTTCTCTTTCTTCTGTATTCTCTTGAATAGTTACAATTGATTGATTCTCATTTGGTGGAATAGAATTGAGAAATTTGTATAAATCTCGATCATTATTTAAATCAAAGAGTTTAGAAGCAAAGTCATTTCCTTCTCCTTTAAGTCTTCCAATAATTCCTCCAAATCTACGATAAATCCAAGAACAGATTCTGATCCATATGACTAATACTTGTCGATTTGTTAGATATTCTATGATTTCTTCGTCACTTTTAATTTCTGACTCCAAATAGATTTCTCTTTATTTCCAATAGAAGCGTCAATCGTATTCAATTCAGGAAACTTTCCAATTGCCATTAAAGATCGAAAAATTTCCTATGAATCTTGTGGATTTGCTTCAAAGAAATGTTCTGAAGTAGAAGGTGCAAATAATTGTTTCATTTCATCAGTTTCAGCTTCTTCATAGTGAAGTTTATCGCATTACTATTGTAAATATTTCGACTACATTCACTTTATAATAATAAACATAGGATTTCTAGTCGATTGTTTCGCCAAAAGATTCTTTTTGATGAGTTCATCAGATGAAAGTCTTTTCACTTTTTCTTTAACGTAATTCAAATTGCCATTTTCACACGCAGTATAAAACGACGAGGATTCGTTATGTTGAATTCCTTTCAAATGTCGCGCTGTTTCTTTTTGCTTGTTTTTCGTCATTGCTGTAGATCGATTCGATTTTTGTGAGGAAAACATTTTTATTCAGTGAAACGATCTATAAAAAATTATCATTAAAATACAATTTGTGGATTTTTATGTGCAAAACGATTTTTTAAAATCCAAAACAATGTATTTCAAGTAATAGAGATTAAAAAAGAATTGATTTCTGTTCTTTTATTTCTTGTAGAAACATACGGAGTGTTGAATATAAACTCTTGCTCCGTTGTTATAAAAAAACAAACACGCATTATTTGGATTTTTCTTGTCAATGAAAGAGGAATCAAATTTTGGTGAACTACATACTTATGTAAACGAAGCACATGAATATATTAGATTGAGCAAAAAGTTCTGCAACGCTTTTGAAAATAAAGTCCATCGTTTTCAACAATCTTTCGTCATCGATCAAAAAGCATTCGGATGGTACAACGTCGGGGCTGTAGGCTGGACGTGACAAAACCTCGACTTCTTCTAGTTTACCTGACGCAAATCATCACTTTCTTACCCAAATGGTATTGACGAGAAATTCATGACGGAACCCACCGTTTCTGCCAGTTGTGATTAACCAAGTGGGCCCATTTTTCGTCTGAAGTTACAATATGCTTCCAAAAGCAGTCGCCTAGTAGACTTGACGAGACATCTTGTGCTTGAAATCCATCCGATGCAGGTGATTGATTTCCGAGACTAAAGTCACGGAGAAACAATTGTGTAGTGGATGTTTTCTTTACCTTCAACATCACAGATCTCTTTTGCAGCGCTTGTGGTCGAAAGTTGCCGTTTCCAACAGTAGGGGAATCAAGCCTCGATCTTCGAATCCGTCCAGAGTCATCTGAACATGATAAAGATAAAAACAACAAAATTTTGCATAGAACACAACAAATTTAAAGAAATGCGCATAACAAGTAACATTTTTGCAAGTGTTGCAGAACTTTTTTTGCTCAACCCTGTCGTACCAAAGTTACACTTATGCCGAAGTTGTAACTTCGGCACGACATATACATCTGCACATCTCATCCATTCTACAATTGATGAGACTATGGATCTTTTTATCGATTAACATATCATTTGATTCACAAAATAGATTCAACAATTTTCCTTCGCCATTTGTATCACCTATCTTCCATTAAACAAGATAATGCTTCTCACAGTCAGCACTGTGGGTGTTATTTCATCATCATCATCAACAAAAAGACCATAAAGATCCCAGAGTTAACTGATCGCATCGCTTAGTTCATTTGCTTCAACAACAGCAGCAACATTTTGTGCTCATTGCGCACTAGAAGAAGTTCTAGGAATAATGACAAATCAACGAAAACGTAAAACATGTTTCAGGAACCAATATATTTATGAACAAGAAAATTATTCATTAAATTAGATGTAACTGTATGATAATACTTCATTTGAATCTTTCTTTCATTCCATTCAATTATTTTCGACATACGACATGTTCCTATTAGTCAAATTGCCATTACACTTTTGCATGTGCCTCTATCGTATAACTCAATATAAAAACAACACAACATGATATTATCATATAAGGGACAACTGTATAATGGAGTCAATTTATAAAACTTTAAAACCTTTGGCAAACATTTATTTGATTGCATTGATATGGTTTTTGACATTTATGAATTTCTATTCATGTTTAAAACCTATAAAAGATTATGCTACAACAACAGGTTTAAAAACAACACCAAAAATTTTAGATGAATTATATTATTATACACCAGACGAAGGTTATCAAATATTAACTGCTTTAGATATTGGTGGACGAAATGCTTATCGCATCACAAATTCATTTGATTTTATCTTACCAATATTATTATTTCTTTCATTATCCTTACCTAATATTGCTTTAGGAGAAAGATGTCACTGTCTCATTATGCCATTTGCTTATATGATATCAGATTATATTGAAAATATTGCTGAAAGATATGTTTTGGAAATTTATCCAAAACGAAAGATTCAAATGAAGTATTATCATACAGTTACATCTAATTTAATGAATA